GGAGCCCGATGCGGGGCTCGATCCCAGGACCCTGGGATCATGACCTGAGCCGAAGGCAGATGCTTAACGACTGAGCCACCCAGGCGCCCCTGAAGTAACATCTTGAGGCAAAGATAAGAATCAATTGGGAGGAAAGTAGAATTCTTAATACATTAGCTTTTCCTTTTCCTATTAAGTTTGCAAGGCCCTAATTTGCCAGCCGGAGCCCAAGAGAGCGAACTGACATGGAGGCAGGTCATGGAGCCAATGAAAAGCATAGGTTTGACAGCATTAGCAGAGGCCAGGCTCAGGATGAAGCATACAGACCAGGAGACGAATCTCAGACAATGAATGGGTTCGCAGTGCAAGAGCCCACACTCTCCACGTGTGACACCCTGACCCTGGGCACCACCTTCCCCAACACGGCTTTACCCCAGTGGTTCCAGTGCCCCGGTCTCAAATTAAACTGTTACTCATTTTTCAAACACCACTGAATTTCTCTCCTCAGCCGAATTACGACTACTTAGGCAGAGCAGTCGGTTTCGGAAACTTCTCCATTAGACCTGAATCTAAACCACGAAACTTCCTGAGCAGCTTCACACGTGGAGCTACCTTCCCAGCCAACGCAGCACTTTTCTTGCACCAAGAATGTCAAGAGATCAGACCTGAAAATACAAAGTACAAACTGGTGGTTGCCAGAGAGGAAGGACAAAATGGGTGAAGGGGACTGGGAGCTACAGGCTTCCAGCGATGGAATGAAGAAGTCACAGGGATGAAAGGCACCGCACTGGGAATATAGTCCATGGGACTAGAACAGTGTGTCGTGACCAGCGTAGCTCTGCATGCAGGGAACATAGCGTAACGTAGGCTGTTGAATCACTACGCTGTACATCCGGAATCAACATAACGTTGTGTGTTGACTCTATTTCAAAAAAAAAAGAAAAAAAAAAACAAAACCAAAAACGAATACCAAGAGATACTGTTAGGAGTCAGACCCATAGTCCAGACAGTCTGTTTCTGAGTGGCACCAAAGTCCTACTTTCATCTACCCTGACCATGTTTAATTGTCCTCTGACCATTATTAGTGATTCCAAGGCTAAAAAATCATGCCAAGTCCCTTACGGAGTTTAAGGTAGCTTGACAGATTAAAAAGTCAGAGAGCAAGAGAAGAGAGTTTAGCAGATGACAGAGAAGATCAAGGAGAGCAGCAGGAGGGAAGAGGCTCATTTCTTACACTTAAAGCCCAAAGCTCAAGCCAGGTGGCCCGAAGATGGAGTAAAACCTCTTCCTGTTACTTTGAAATGCCTCAGAGATGCCAAAGGAAGGTCTTTAGTGGATCATTTAATAGATCTTTTCTTCCTTCCAAAAGATACATGAAATACCATTTCAGTGACTCAATCTTTTACAGTCTTAGGTAGATTCCGTGTAATGGAAGAGATGGGGAGCTAGCTCCCTCCCATCCTTTACAACTCACTAATGAAGCTAAGCAAGGTGGCTGTTAGTGCAAGAGTGGAAGGGTGTTGTGTGTGGGGGGGTGTTGGACCCACGGCAGGGTGAGGAGGTGTCTGTGCGAGGCAGGGAGCTGTGGCGATAGTAACTTGGAGGGGGGTGTCAGAGCCTGAGAGGTGAGGCGGCCCTCCATGTGTGAGTGGTGACAAAAGGAGGAATGTTATATATGAGGGCATTGGCCCAACGTATTGAGGGTCATGGGAGTTTGGGATCGTTGGAAGAAGAATCTACAAGTACAGAGAATAACAACTAGAAGAAATCTTGTGGTGCGATGCACTGAAGGCATTAATCTGAACGGATGGTTTTCAATATACATGTTTAAGTATAAAAATATAGATGCAAATATGCGTGTGTGTACATATGTGCAAATATCCCTGAGCCCCATCCACTGAGGGGGGTTGGGAACAGGAACACCCCAAAAGCAATGAGCACACTTAGCTTGGTTTCTAAACACCTTTCTGCATTAAAAGAAACCAGAACTCCTTGGGGGAAATTCAAACTGGGGCAGAGAAATGGGAAGATGAGCCTGGAACTTGTGCTTGAAGTGCTCAAAGAACATCGGGGAGTCACAAGGTCACAGAAGCTCTGAAGGGGCCCCCACTGGCCAAATCTGGGGTAACATGAGTACCAAAAGAATGAGAGTATATATAATGATCATTTAATAAAACAGAAATGGGTCCCTATTAAGAAAAGGAACAGAAAAAAGAAAGCTTTCATAGTAGCAACTTGGAATAAAATCTGGCATGCCTGAGGTTGCTGGGGGAGAGGGGATGTCTGTTTTCCTTTGTCTTCCTTTGGCTGCCTACACGCACTTCAATCCCTTCTGCATAGACTCTGTCCCCTCCCCTGACCTAGGCCAGAGACACTGATGTGCAGCAGGTTATTTTAGTCAATTATGACCTTCCCACCAACAGGGAACACTATATCCACAGAATCGGTCGTGGGGGATGATTTGGCCATAAGGGTGTGGCTATTAACATGATGACAGAAGCCAAGAGGATTCTTTGCGACATCAAGACCTTCTACAACACCCCATTGAGGAGACACCCCTCGATGTCGCTAACCTCATCTGCGGGGCTGTCCTGCTACCTAGCCCTACCCCGGGTTGTCTGGGGGCGGGCTGAAGAGGAGCAGGGGCGGGGAGGGAAGGGAGCCAAGGGATGGACATCTTGTCATTTTTTTTTTTTCTTGAATAAATGTCACTTTTTGAGGCAAAAAAAAAAAAAGAAAAAATGAAAAAGAAAAAAGCAAGCTTTCCTTAAAAAATGCCAACCAATAAATGTAGAAAGAATGGCGGGATTAGGAGACACTCACAGGCTACCATCATAGTAATTCAGCCAAGAAACTGCAACACAGATGCCAAACTAGTTTGATGAGGAATGGGTTATTTACCCGATTTCAAAGCACAACCCCACAAGATGCTTATTAGTAACTTTTCAGTGGAGAAACCCAGCAGATACCACCTCCATTAAGTCATCAAGGTTAACATCACCACTAATAGGGTGACTCAAAATCACCCTATTATGCCGGGATAACTCCCGACAGGATGGGAAGAGCACAGCATCACTTGATACTCCTGCCAGAAATGTGTAACCTGGAATCCAACCATGAGAAAGCATCAACAAACCCAAATTGAGGGACAGTCTGCAAAACAGCCTGTAATCTTCAAATGTCAAGGTCATTAAAACAAACCTGGATTGTTCCAGACTACAGGAGATGGAGACAGGACTACTAAGTGCAACTTTTTTCTGCTGATAGAATATTATTATTGGGGTCACTGGGAAAATTTGGTTATCTGTGGATGGTAGTGTTTTCAGGTTAATTTTTATTTCTGATGGATTTATTTGGTGATATAGAACAGCTTCAGTTATGGGAATTATGCATTAAAATATGCAGGAGTGTTGGGACATCACCTTGCAACCTATTCTTAAAAAGTATTCAGGAAAAAATGGACTATTCTTGCAATATTCTTGGTAATTGGTACTTTCCTTTAAATTTGAAATTATTAGGGGCACCTGGGCAGCTCAGTCAGTTAAGCATCTGACTTGATTTCAGCTCGGATCATGATCTCAGGGTTTTAAGATCCATCCCCACGTTGGGCTCTGAGCTCAGCAGGGAGTCTGCTTGAGATTCTCTCTCCCTCTGCCCCTCCCCCAGCCCCCTCACCCCTGTTCTCTCTCTCAATTTCTTTTGTGTCAAACATTTAAGGGTACAATAAAAAAAGAAAATGAAACGATTTTGCTAAAAGTCAAGATCCTTTTAATTTTTTAGAAAGAGGTTACTTAGAGGGGAAACAGTGCTTAAAATTCCACAGAACTAAAGTTAGGTGGAGACCATGACCAAATAAATACATAACAAGGACTCATTTTGATGCTCTTTAAAGCAGTGTTTTTGAATCAGGTAAACATCCAAAGAAAGAGGATTCTTCCTGATGTGCTTCTTGCTGAACAAAATTTGTATTCACCTTTGTATGTATCAACTGCCTAGCCTAGGTATTTGAACTCTGAAATAATTTAATGCAACTCAAATGACACTTTAACACATACAATACTTTTCTTGATTTCTTACATTCATATATAACAAATTCTTGATGCCTTTAAATTCATGATTCCCATGACCATTTCAGTTATGATAAATTACAAAATGGCAAGAAAGATCCTTTGAGATCTCAAAGAAAGAAACCAGAGGAAGGGGCGCCTAGGTGGTTCAGTTGGTTAAGCATTCAACTCTTGAACTCAGCTGAGGTCTTAATCTCAGGGTCATTGAGTTCAAGCCCGGCACTGGGCTCCACGCTGGGCATGGAGCCTACTTAAAAAAAAGAAAAACAAAACAAAACAAGAAACAAAACAAACTTGAGGAAAGTATATATTAAAGGCCTTCACAAATATGAAGGACAATTATTAAAATCTTGATAAAAAGCAATCTGTCCTAGGTTCAAGGTTCAAGTCTGAATCCTTGAACTTTCCAAGATCAAGACACCATTTGCATATGTTCTTTTTTAAAAAACTCCAATGATAAATAAATAAAATCTTTAAAAAAATAAAAAATAAAAAACTCCAATGAACTCCTATCATGTCAGGAGCATCAGCATCATCTCAGCCAGCACCAGACAGAAGAGGCTTGCGATATTTGCACTGAATCCAAACCCGGTACATTGTCAGCTGTTTCCCCCGGTTCACTTGCAATCGGCGATCCACCAGGTTTTGAACCTTTTCCAGTCCAGCAGTAGTGAAAAGCGTATCCAGCTCCTCTGGTTTGGAAAAGAGATGTTTATATATTTTCCGCTGAAGAAAAAACATGATCTACCACTTCCTATGTTTAATGGGGCTCCGTGAGACTGTTTTTATTTATATATTTTAAGTGGCTTGAGCCGTGCTGTTTATTTATAAATGTGGTAACAGTTTGGTAGCGGCAAGTTCACATTTAAATGGGGGAAGCCGAACCGTCTGGGAAGGGCAGCTTGGTATCCTGAGGGAGAGCTGAAGAGTTGGCTGACGGGGAGGAATTTTCAAGAAGGGCTTCACGGACACCTTAAGATTACATGCAAAAATCTACATAAATGTAACGTCAAAGCCACTTTTTTAGGGGAGAGATTCCTCCACTTTCACCAGAGGCTCAAAAAAGTATGTGACAGAATAAAGGACCCAGGAATGGCAGTGGGCACATGGGCAGGGCCGGCCGCAGAGGAGAGCCATTCTGGTTACAGCCGGAGCCAGGGAGCACGGGCCTGGCTCCGGGGCCCCTACGGGGTGACCCAGCCTTCAGGGTGACACCAGTCGCACTGAAGTCCCGCAAAATGGGGCAGGTCTCCTGTTTTGGACAAAGGGACCGGGAGGAAGAGCAGACCGCAGGAGGGCCATGCGGAGGGCTGAAGGCTCCTGTAAGTGGAGCCTGTCTGCAGAACAGCGAACGGGTTCCGGGCAGCGGAGCGCAGGGTGGCGAAGGCCCCCACAGGTGGGAGGGCCCAACAGTCTTACTTCTGAGAGTACACGGAGCAACGTCTGAGCTGGTGTTTGGGGGACTACTGGCATACGCAAAGATGAGCGTTTTCATACCTTGTGTGAAGAAGTAAACTCTAGTACCGTCACCTCTCACGTAGAAATTTTCAGACAGACACTGACCTGTGGAGCGATGTGATAAAAATGAGAGAAACTTTAAAGTACTTCTTTGAATTTCACTGCCAATCAAATGTGCATTGTGATACCGATTTCTTGGGCAGAGAACAGAAGCCTTTCTTGGTTACTCTGGGCACCTTGCAGGAATTGGCAGTTTCGCTGCTATGAAGGAATGGTGCTTTGGAGCGAGCAGCCCCGGGGGCGCCATCAACCGCAGTGTTTGATCACACGGGCGATCCTCAGCCTTCTGTTCTAGAGCTGTTTCCTGTTGCAAACAGTGTTTCCCTCCTCCCTCATTCAATAAATACCACATACTCTTTGTAAAACAAAAATAAACAAAAGACAGGGACTTTAGCTACGCTGAAGGGAAGAAAACTTGAGCCACTGGGACCACTTCCCACGTCTCTCCATGCATCCACACACACTCACAAATACAACCCGCGTGCTGTTTTTATCATGGACGCTCTCCCCTCAGCTGCCAAGCCCTCTGACCTAATGTCAATTTACTAACCTGGTAGGTGATTCTGCACCTTTGGAATGTCAATATAATCTTACTTGCTTTACTTTGCTTATTTCTCCCCAGCCACTCTCGTATGTGCGATCAAGTTTAAAACAGTCACCTGCACACTGCTTTTCTCATCTGGGAATGCAGAATGGAAACCCTGCCAGGACTGCTGGTGTGGGGCCCACCTCATGCAGCAGGCACAATGCTCCCCTCTCCAGAGGCATTCACTTTGTTTCGAAGATTTTGCCTACATACACATTACATGCTAGTTCTTGAGTAATTCCCCAAAGGACTGTTAGACTGAGTAGATAACACCAGTGTGCTTCAAAAAAAAACCAAAAAACCCCAAACAACCCAAACACCATTAACAGGTTGTTATTTCTACCAGTAATGGAGAAGTGTATCTCCTTCTTTGAAATGGCCAGTGGTAGGTTTAAGAAGTGGTTATCTCACTCTAAGTTTTGTTACCTTGAAGTTTGTTTTTGGCCATTTGGATTTGCCCTTCTGTCAATCAACTCTAAAATTTTCCTTCCCTGTTTTTTGGGTGGGTTGCTGATCTCCTTATCAATTTACCAACAGGCCCTTGAAGAGCAGAGATAATAATTGAGTCTTTATCTGTTCTAGGCACCGAAATTATTTGTCTTTCAAATTTTTAATGGCATCTTTTGCCATGCCACATTTAAAATTACTTATGTAATCAAATCTTTTTCCAAAGGTAGCTATTTTTTTTTTTTTTAAGATTTTATTTATTTATTTGACAGAGAGAGACACAGCGAGAGAGGGAACACAAGCAGGGGGAGTGGGAGAGGGAGAAGCAGGCTTCCTGCTGAGCAGGGAGCCCGATGCGGGGCTCGATCCCAGGACCCTGGGATCATGACCTGAGCCGAAGGCAGACGCTTAACGACTGAGCCACCCAGGAGCCCCACCAAGGTAGCTATTCTGAAAGTAGCTGTCTTGGTTAAAAGATCTCCCAAATACCTAGATTATACATATCTTCAAAAACATACCACCGTTGTCATGTATTAAGTAGTTTTATATGTGGAGCTACAATTCTAGAGTTTCTATTCGATTTCACTGACTTCTAGGTCTATTCTGATGGCAAAACTGTTGCTTTGGTAATAGTAGCAAAATACCTTTTTTAAACCGAAGCTGAGCCATGTCATAGCGGCCATAATCTCGCAGAAGCATCATCCCTCCGGGCTTTAGAAGCCTGCTCAGCCTGTTGATGGCCTTCTGCATCCTGCGGGGCAACACAGAATGAAGATCAGGTCTCCTTAAGGACAGGATTCCTTTTCCTTGTAGCATGCCTGGAAAAGCCAGTGGACTTCCTAACCTTGACAAACGAACCCCGACATCTCAGCTCCTCTGCTCTTGCTTCAGTGAGAACGGGAGCACATACCCAAGCTTCTCAGGTGCTTCTGCTGTCTGCTCGTGACCGTGGCTTTGACCCACTCCCTCCACCAGGAAGAGGCCTGAGGATAATCCGCTTCTGCCGGAGGGCTCCACTTAAATACTCTGCATCTGGCTTACTTCCTACTCCTCCTGGGATGGCCTCATGGGGAAGCCACCTGTCCTGTGCTTCTGGGGCTCTCGGAGCACAGCCCTGAAAACCTGCGGTGAGGACTACTAGTTAGCTGACTCATCCGCCTGCCCCCAGGCCTGAGAGCTCTAAAGGCAGAGACTGTACCTCTCCATTTGTTAAATGAAGATGAAACCTCAAGCACTTATAGTTTACATGGTGAGTCAGAATGCAAATGGGTGCCCCTGGCAGAGCGCTTTACCTTCTGACTGCACTTCCCACACGCAGGCTTAGTGCCGGTTTCGCCTGTACTAACCTTGGAAGTATCAATGCTACAAAGTCTACTTAAACGCTGAATAGAGAGCTTTTAATTTAATTTAATTAATTAATTTATTTTTAAGGTTTTATTTATTTATTTGACAGAGAGAGACACAGCGAGAGGGAACACAAGCAGGGGGAGTGGGAGAGGGAGAAGCAGGCTTCCCGTGGAGCAGGGAGCGTGATGCGGGGCTCGATCCCAGGACCCTGGGATCATGACCTGAGCCGAAGGCAGATGCTTAACGACTGGGCCACCCAGGCGCCCCGAGAGTTTTTAATTTTAGTGTTTTATTTCAGTCCACGTCAGTTTTTAAGTTTGTAGCATTTAAACTTTCCACTGATATTTTATCTATCAATCAAACTCTACCCCCAACGCGGGGCTTGAACTCACAACCCTGAGATCAAGAGTCACATGGTCTACTGACTGAACCAACCAGGTGCCCCGAGACTTCTGCAGTTATGAATGTTTAGAACCATGCCTGGCTTTTTGGGCTGCCTTGCACCTGCCTTTCTGCACGCTCACAATATCCCTGTCAGGTCAGATGACTCAGTACTCTCCTCAAGGAAATGTGGGACAGAGACAATCGCTCGCTCCTCTGGGTCTCTAGCTGACGCTGCTTCCTGAGGACAGTATCTCATCAGGACAGCTGGCTGTCCACGTCTAAGAACCTTACCAGTATCTTGCAGGGTTTGGCACCTAAACCGCATTTTATGGAATTTTATGGATTTTATGGAATTCCCCTGTACTGCAGTTTTCCAAAGAACTTAAACATAAAGGAACACCCGCGTTAAGCTTCACTATAAATTCTGTTGTTAATAAGCCTGGTTTACCGAAAGCATTTAAAAAGCCCAATGAGGGGCGCCTAGCTGGCTCAGTTGGGAGAGCGTGTGGCTCTTGATCTCGGGGTTGTGGGTTTGAGCCCTACGTTGGGCGTACAAATTACTTAAAAATAACATCTTAGAGATTTATTTACTTATTTTTTAAAGATTTTATTTATTTGAGAGAGTGTGAGCGACAGAGACAGCACAAGCAGGGGTGGGGCGGGGGAGGGGGGAGGCAGAGGGAGAAGCAGACTCCCCGCTGAGCAGGGAGCCCGATGTGGGGCTCGATCCTAGGACCCCGGGATCATGACCTGAGCCGAAGGCAGATGCTTAAAAGACTGAGCCACCCAGGTGTCCCTTAAAAATAACATCTTAAAGTAAACTAAAAAGCCCAATGAGGGGGTGGGTACTAATAGCTGGGGTTCTAAAACAGCGGGCTGCGATTATCAGCAGGGGTTCCCCCCCACACCCAGTAACGCTGCTCTCCCATCCCCCGGGGATGCTCAATCATAGCACCGAAAAGAAGAACCAACCGCTGCAGCCAACAGACAGAGGTTTAGAGGCAAAAATGTTTAGGAAAAGGGTTGAGACACTTGTATCACTTTGACAGAATGGCTTTTCCCGGCCTTTCAGATCATCCTGCTTACTTAGGGTCCAACCCTGGTATCAAGGTCCCTGACCCAAGCTTTGTTCTGTGACACTACTGGCTAGGGGACCTAAAACTTACTTGTCTGGAACAACGGCCGAAAGAACAAATATGAGGATGATGATGTCGAGGCTCTCCCCGGGCACTGGGTAACTCGTATCTTCATCACACAGATCGTGGACAAAGGCAAAGCACCGACAAGGATCGTATGCTGAATCTGTCTGCAGACAGTTGAGACACATAGGTTAGAAAACGTTCACACAGCCTGGAGGAAAGCTAATCTTGCTTTAAGTGTAACCGCTGCTCTGGCTGCTGAGGGCTATCGCTCTCATCAGGACGCATGCCTTCTTACTCAAAGCCTAAGAACGTCCAACAATGCCAGGGACAAGCCTGCGGAATCCAACTGGTATTCTTATTTATTTATTTTTTAACTTTTTTTTTTTTTTT